GTGTGCAATCAAGAAAAGTCGAAACAATACTATTGTTAGATCATCTGTCTCGGTCAAACTCGTTATCGCGGTGAGGGGCAATGAAGCAAAGATGACTATACTTCCCAGTCAGTCATGTTCGCTAATATTCCGCCATAGCTAACTAGACGCATTTTACACCAAGGTCATCATTGATCCGAACCTTACGATTACTAGGAATGGGCCACCTTTCGGTTTTTAAAAGAAAATAGCAAATCAAGCCATAAATAGGGGGCCGGTTACCTTTCGGGGGTGGGGCAGCTCTCGGGATGTTACGGAGGAAGAAGGAAATTAGTAATGCTACGCGAGGAGCCTGACTTCCTTTACTAAGGTTTTTGAGGCGAAAATGAGTGTAGCTCAGACGCCCGTGGTGCTGCTGGAGGAGACTACATATGCGACTTAAGGGGGACAACAATGTCACGATGTATCGTTGTAGATCCTCTGCATTTGGAGCCTACAGTGACACATGATCTTGAGTGACCATCGGGGCCTACAGTGACAGATGATCTTGAGTGACCATTTCCTCAAGAACATGGCTACGCAAGTAGTCAAAGTAACGGAATTTCAGTAGGCTATATATATTAGACGCCGGTGCAGAACGGCAGAGTTGACCACCATATAATACAGAACCCAGGTCCCACAAGCGCGCGATTGCAGACGGCTGCGCCAGTGAAGGACGTGGAGCCTATCGGCCCCTGCCGGGTTACCTTCACGCGTATCGCATCGAAACCATAATCACTGAGGTTTTGTCAATTACCGGCGCGTCTGCACAGAGTCTCTCTCGCACGCGGGGACGAGGGACTCGCCGCTGACCGTCTGGAAGAGAGGGACGCATGAACGCGTGGGCCAGCGGGACAGGGCAGCCATCGCCTCCTCCTCCGTACGCAGCAACGAGGAGGAGATGGAGGAATTAAACTAGGGGGCCGAAGCGAAACCCGTCAGGAGATGAGGCGGGGGGCGCCCATACCCGCATCCGGTTTGCTGGAACGGAACCCGGTCCGCGCAGGGACCGCATGGCCAAGCAGTAACCGCGACCTCGGTCAGATTCGGTCGCCGCGGGTCAAACGTCGAGCAGCAGAACGTCTTCGTCGCGCATCATCGGCCCGGGAAGAAGGCGGAATACAAGGTCAATCGATATATGGTGATCTCCGGAGTAAATTATGCCGAGGAAACACTCCGATGGGTCTGGCGTTCCCACAGAATGATGTTTACGAACAAACCCGTGTCGGCCCACACCACCGTGCAGACCCTCTTCGTAGAGCGGTGGCTTACTCCAGTGACTTTAACTCCACCTAGCCCAAAGCTTTAAAAAAAGTTAAGGTTAGGCCTTTTGGTGGTATACTACTACATTCGGAATTAATAGAGCCTGGTAAAAGAATCTTGTATCGCTGCTGTACGAGCTCTCCCCTAGACTTGAAGAGAGCAGCGCCACCACAGGGTGCCTTGATCGCTCACGGTGTTACTATCATAAATATTGTCCTGGTAATTGTCAGTCTCCTTTCATATTTTAACAAAATACAAGACGCGGAAACGAAGAACAGAAGGGGAGTGCGCATTTCACTTTTATGCCGAACGGCGACTCGGAACTGTAGCCTCCATTAAATGCCTTCATTCTTTAAAAAAAGAAAAAAGAAAGGAAAAAAAAAAAAAAAAACGGGGACGCAAAATAAAAAAAAGTGCTTGATGTGTGAGTGCTTTCACTGTTGGACTCACAATGGACGATGAAAGGCACAATCTAAAGTTTTGAACCCTAGCGTTCGGGTACCATTGACAACGTCGCGGGGACCGAGTACACCATGAACGAACTCGTGCACGAAGCAACTTCGTTACACCGTGTTATGCGAATATATGCCGCCACTCAAGTTGTACGTTTACGCTTGTACCGTAGGACAGAGTCCCTTGCCCGTGTTTCACCACTGAAGAAAACGTGAAGTCCTTAGCCGTATACACGCTCAACAACACACTTGGCAGAATCAAAACGCTTGCGGCTTTTTTTTTTTTTTTTTTTGGGGGGGGGGGGGGGGGGCATTTAATTGATGAAAAGACACTAAATTCTACCATCTAAGCTGGCACAGCCCCATATCACCGCGCAACAAAACAACAATATAGCACACGAAAAAAAAAAACTCCTTTAGAAAACAAAAAAAGAAAAAAACGCGGGAAAGTTGGCTGTGTGTTGCGCAGTCTTGTACACACACAAAAAAGAAAAAGAAAAGAACTCCGGTTTACGAGGTTTATCGGAAATCTATATTGCTTATCGTCATTTTTCACTTTTCTAGGGAAGGCACAAACCAAACGATTAGGAACATGAATTTCTTGCTGGTCTCAAATTTGTTCTTTGCAAATGAGGAACAGTTATTTCAAAACGAAAGAAGAACCATTCAGAAGAGTCGAAATTTTTACCTTATTTTCTCTCTCTCTCTCTCTCTCTCTTTGAACAAATTTTGTTTTACGCCGCCAAATCCTGGCTCGCACCTTCGGATGGCGTACAGCCGGTCGCAACATAGCTTACAGAAAGCCGAACAAACGCACACACAGAGAACGCTGCGTCAAGCTGTGCCTGTGACCTCATGAAACCGTGACTCCTGGGAGAACAAGTGCTGACGCGTTCAAAGTTCGGTACTGAAGCCGCAGTAACACTGCTTATATATCGCACAAAAAGACGCGTGTTTGCTGCACACATGATGAGTGTCTGCGGTACCCCGTCAGCATGTTCGGAGCGCTTCACACATTTGTGTGAGCGCGAATGAGGCGCTGATACCGAATGTCCGCAGAGCCCAGTAGCACACGCCTCGCTTTGTGATAGGGAAAAACCCAAGACGTGGGCCTTGGCTCTGTTCCAGGCGCAAGATGCATTTCGACGGGGCGACAAAACACTACCTTGCTGCTCCTGCTTCTTATCGAGGCCGCGCCTAAGTGATGATTCCTCCGTCGGTGCATAAGGGACACCGATACACGCATGGTAGCGGTACTTGGGTGTGGCGGCCTCGATAAGCACGATAGTGCCCGTTCTCAGCTCATCTTCGACAGGGCCCGTCTAAACCGAAATTTGCTCTCCCCGAAGCTCCTCGGGAAATTGAAAACTTTCCGCCCGTGACTTCACCTGCCCATACAAGGCAACCTGCACGCCCGTTGTGTATGTTTATCATAAGCGCTTACGATATCGCAAGACGCATCGCGCTCACACCAGCAAATTCCAGTATTATCGTCTGCAAAGTCAAACGGCATTTCAGTGTAGCCATTCGGTGAGGACATTGCGCTAACTTAATTGTCATACTGGACGGCATCCCGCAGAGGTAAGCATTAAGCACGTGCAAAAAGTATGATGTATTATAAACAATTAGTTAATTAGCCAGGATATTCTACAGCTATTTTCGTTGTGACACAATTACTTCGTCATATTCTTCTTCCAGGAAAAACAAATACATACATTTATAGGATTGCTAAGGCCGAAGCTTGTTTGGGAACAAAGCAGACAACTAATTCATACGGAACTAGCAGACGGTCACGTGACTGTCTGCTTGGAGCACGTAGGCGCCGATCAATCATCTTTCCCAAATCGCGCCAACACACACACTCGTTTCTTTTTCTGTTTCGAAACTTCGGTTTACTCGTACAGATGGTTACTGAGAGAAAAGCGGGAATCAAACATAAAAACTGCCTGTACCGCATTTCCCGGACAGTATCCGCGGACTATACAAGTTAAAAAAAAACTAATATTTTACGCGAACGATCTGTGGGTAAAGACTATACTTTTTTTTTTTTTTTTTTTGCCGTTTGTTATGAAAAGACGGACGAGACGTAGGCTGATTCCGTGAATGACAGGGCACTGTTACCACATGGAAACGAGACCGTCAAATAATCAAGCCCGAAAATAATCCCAACGCTTTGTGTGTAACTTTTAGACGTGCCTGCTGAACAAGACTAGAAGCTAGACTAGTCTAGCGGAAACGAGAGACGACACGACACAGAAGTCTCAAGCTTTCACTTCTGTGTGTCGTGCCGCTCGCTCTCCCCGTAGTCTTGGAGTTGTAGTCTATCGTGCTCAACAACCACCATGCTCGTCTGCGCACTCATTTTCTGTTCATCAAACTATACACGGGGTATGGATATACCTATAAGGTATTAGTGAGTTTTAGTATTGCGTATACGAGCAAACGCAAGCGTTAGCGTTGCGTGTTCCCCGCTGCGCATGCGCGAAGTCGCCACGCGCGAATCCAAGGCCGCGGTTTGGGCTCCGCGCACGCGCAGTGTGGAACACGCAACGCTAACGCAAACGCACAGGGCTTGCGTTCGCTCGTATGCGCAATACTAAATAGGGAGTTTTCGTAGACCGCGTTGCCCCCTCCGCTAAGCGTCCCGCAACGAAGAAGTTGCTACTGCGCTTGCGCGCCGATAGCCTTGACTGTGGAGTTCCCGCTATCGTAGCGGGTTGCGGAGGGCCTTGCGGGACGGCGAAAACGATCTACGAAAACTCCCTAATATCACTATCCTCAAAACGTTACGCATCAAGTAAAAAAAAAAAAAAAATTAGCCTCGGATATTGAGTTGGGGGAGGCAACCGAATGACAGGTTCCCAGTTGAAAACCTTACACGAGTCAAATGGTCTGCAACCGAGAATAATCCAAAAAGACGTTAACAAAATCGGTCCTTCTTTGATATATTTTTTTTTCTCCTCTCTGTAGGAAGTGAAAGAAGAAAAAATGATAGCTATAGCTGCGCAATCTTCGTGAAGCATCCGCGCACGAAGATACCAGCGTTATTACGTCCTCAAGTGGGTGGGTCCGCGAAGATTTATGTTCACAGAAAAGTGCAACCGGCAGTGTGCCTTATCTCTTAACGCCTGCAGGCCGCTGCGTTCTCCCGAGCACAGTCTGCATGCACGAGAAACAAGAAAATGTGCGGCAGCAGGAGCGGTTGGTTCGACGATCACCGCACAGTACCAACATTTACTTTCGATAGCAGCAGCGTTCCCCTCTCACCTTGTTGTGAGCTTCCGCAGCCAGTCCAGATTTCGTCGCCCTGTTTTCGGCCATTTTCTAATATTCCAGAGGCTTGTTTCGACGATTGACAAACAACAACGACGCGAGTAAACTGAGCGGAGGGCCCAAAATAAAACCGCCGCGAAATCGAAACGGAAATCAAAAATGGGCTTTCTCGCGGACTACAAACTTGACGCGCTGCTACGCCGGCGTATGACAGGCAGTGGAAAAACGGCGGGCGAACGAGCAAGCAAACAGCGCGAGAGAGGGTAAAAAAAAAAAAAAACACTCTGAAAGAGGAAGAGAAAACTATCACGTGACGCGTCTCCTAGCAACCGTCAAGCCCTCCAAGGGCGTCGACGAAGATGACGTCTGCAACGTTGGCCGTTGGATCGTGAAGAGGCGTCTGCTCTCAGTTCCCAAAGGAATTTACGAGCATATTTCCGCGACAACTTTTATTTAAGCGGCTTTATGTGTGTGCTTCCTCTGACAGTTATCCAACGCTACCATACCAGCGCTTTACTGCAACGACGGCGACTACCGCAGCTGTTTGTAACTATTGTAACCTCGGGCGATGTGTCTTGGAGGTGCATTTGTGATTGAATGCATTCTTTCCCCTGTGAACAATTAAAGTTGACATATTTTAGTCATATCTATTCATAGCATGAATGAGTCAAAGCTCGTGGATGCTGATCTCTTGGTGCTCTTGGTGGATCGTGCGCTTCCCCGATCCGCGAGTGCGGCGGTGCGGTACCGCAACGATGGGTTACCGGATGGCCATCTTGCATGTGGCAAAATCGCGTCTTTGCTAGCGTTGCGGAGGCCGGCGGCAGCGTGCTGAAGACACGTTTTCTACTCATTCGTCGTCATTCGTCAAAAAATTATAGTTATAAGTCTTTGTATATGTGAGACTTTTATTGAGAACTCGTGAAAAATTTTATGAATGCGCAGTACCGTAGAAAAAAGGCACAACTTCATCACAACTCATCGAAAGCATGTTTCGCCGCTCGCAGCGTCATCAAAGCTTCCTTGGCACGCCGAAGTGCTGCGTCTCTGTGCCTTCGCACGCTTAGATATCGATTAAGAATTGACGCTACGGCATAGTTTTCAAGCAGTTCCGGATCGTCCAGCATGTTCCGGCGAGTTGCTATCAATAAAAGGGAGGGGACTCCGTAAGGTTACTCTTCCGCACTATTAACCATGGCTATATTCCAAATGGGAGGCACTCACTTGATCGAATGACGTTTTAGCGAACGCCCACGTTTCATCGAACGACACCTTAGCGAATAGTCAGACGCCGCGAAGCGGCGTTTTCGGGTGGGCCAAGTGAGTTCATATTTTTGTAATGAGTTGCCGTAGACTGTCGCCGCGAAGCGGCGTAAAGCGCAGCGCGACGGATGGGTTAACGCGCGTCCCCGTTATTCGCTAGAACGACCATTCGCTCAAATGTCGCCTTTCGCTAAAATGTCATTCGCTCTTACGGCGAGATTGAAAATATTTGAAGCGCGGCCCATATGATCGTGTGCAATGGCCAATCACAATCAGGCGAGCCGCGCTCAAACTTGATGTCAAGTGTAATTAAGTAGGTTGATAATGAGCCAGAACACTGATCAATGATGAGGAGCTGTAGTGCGGCAAAACGCTGCTCCAGAGGCACGTACATACCGCTTCACCCACATTGCACCCGCCAAACAGATCCACCGTTGAAACGAATCTCTTTGTTTCACGAAATCGGATGACGGTAACCAGGCACGTAGCTGACGTAGCAGGATTTTGTTTCGGCGGGAGGGGGAGGGGGGAGGGGGGGGGGGGGGGGGGGCCGCCAACACCTCCTAGGGCCCGCCCATGACAAAATGCCGTATGAGAGGGAGGGGGAGAGGAGGTCCCAGCAAAATCGAAGATTGCGGGGGGGGGGGGGGGGGGGGGGCGGGCCCCATGGGCCGCCCCCCTGGCTACGTGACTGACGGTAACGTTCAGTGTGCATGGCAAGTGCGTAGGCAGAAATCGTTTTAATCAGTTTTCATCATTTTCATACAGCTTGGTGGAGCTTTGTCTGGTTTGTCTGGCAACAAAACGAAAGGCACCTAACCAATCCAATCCAATCCACTTTGCCCGCGAAAGTCCGGTCTCAGGGGTCTCAGGGCGCCGCCATCTTCCTCAGTGGGGTGCGCTCTCGGGAGCGGCCATAATCCGATTACGACGCCTTAGCAAGGCTTCGTAATCGGATTATGACTGGTCCAAGCGCACCCCAGACAGGAAAGATGGCAGCGCCCTGAAGCCGGACTTGCAAGGCCGCTGCCATGTTGCTTGGCTGGGGTGCGCTTGGACGAGTCATAATCCGATTACGAAGGCTTGCTAAGGCGTCGTAATCGGATTATGGCAGCGCCCAAGAGCGCACCACACTGGGGAAGATGGCGGCGCCCTGAGACCGGACTTGCAAACGTGTATAGGCTGTATAGGCTCCCTAGAATCCGGCGGCGGCTTGCGCCACCTAGCAGACCTATCCAGCGGATACGATTCACGAACAGGTGCCAACCGAAATCTCGGACGCCTCGAACATCTCTCTCCCTCTGCCCTTTAACCTGCTCTATCTTTCTGTGGCTTCGAAGGTTCATCGTTTCATCATATGTCACGTGCTTTATCGGCGCTCTACGTTCTCTACGCTCGTTCCCAGTATGTTCCCAGTCGCTCATATGGCGGTTGGCGGTCGCGACGAAACCAGAAACGGCTGCCAAGAGAAGCGTAGAAGCGGCGGGAAATGAGATACCAGGGTGTGCAGTTTCAAGGTTTTAACGCCTGCAATGTCCGTGTCCACGCTTGGTCTACGCAGCCCGAAGTTACGAAGGTGATCGAGAAGTGACGTGTAGGCAGTGTTGGTAAGTGATATCAGTGGCACAAGTGCGGTGACATACCCTGGGCCTCCGTGATATGGGAATCGGTTTCGTTTGACAGTTGTAAATTAATCGATTTTTTTCGATGCCCTACTTCTCGCGAACCTGCCTGAAACACCTAAACCGATGATCCATGTTTGACTGACTGTAGTGCTTTTTTTTTCTTTTTTTTTTCCTTCTTCTTTTTTTAAAAATAACGTTTAACGCTCCTAAAAACATGTTCGATCACGAATGACGACTGAAGCATACAGTAGATAGAAATATGCCTTAGAACAATGTGCACATCACATGTTTTAAAAACTTAATTGCAACTAAAGTATTCATTCTTTCACTACTACTTTCTAAAGTATTCATTCTTTCACTACTACTTTCTAAAGTATTCATTCTTTCACTACTACTACTCCCCCCCCCCCCCCCCCCCTCCCCCCCAAAAAAAATGTACAGCGTGGTTACAATGTTTTTAATGCTGTAAAACAAACTGGAAAGATGGGTGCCTTGCAAATAGGAAGATCAAACACTGAATGTGCATTTAGGCAGTTGATTTATACCTTGTGAAATTTCAAGGCATATAGTTTTCTTCCTGTAAGAAATGACACCAACAAACTTGTGAAAGTCAATGGCAGACATGTTTGCAGGCGACCCAAGTTCGATGGATGTAACCTGTAGCACCATCTCCCAATGGGCGCGCTCAGTAGCGCCTCTCTTGCCTCAGAACAGAGGGACTCGAGTCGGAGCTCTTTGGATTTTCTCGCCGGAAATCGTCACCAGTGAGGAAATGACGTCATCTTTAGCTCTTTTGACTCTACGTGCACCGTCTCCGGACTTGGTGCTTCGGAGCTTGACTCCGAAGCCCCGGAGTTACGTGCACCGGAAGTGACTTTTGGCCGTCCAGTGGAAGGGGTCAGTGACTCCTTGACTCTGGGGCCGCTACTGAACGCGCCCATTAGGCGCAGATAGCAGACCACAGAGTGCATTGTCTGCTTGCCGCGTCAATCGGGAGATGGCGCCACAATTTACATTGTTGCTAACTGTCGTCTGTGAGCACGTCCACCATTTACTTTGGCAAGTTCGTTGGTCCCATTTTTTTACAGAAAGGGAACTACGCCTTGCAAGTTCACGAGGTAAAATCCACTGCCGACGTGCACATTCAGTGAATGTTTGACCTCCCTATCTACAGGTGCTGATGTTTTTGGTTTGTTTACAGCATAGGAAACACTGTGGCTACTTTATATATAGGGTGTCCCAAGTCACCAGGCTCAACCTAAAATGGACCGTAAAAATCGACGCCTGCTTGTAGCAATCTAAACATTTCGTCAAAGGTGTATTTCACAGGTCGTTTTTCTTTTTGTAAAATTACAAAGCGTGGCTCCCTTTATGTAAAAAAAGGGCCGAAAAACTTGCAAGGGTCAATGGCGGGCGGCGACGCAGACGACCAAATCGAGTGGCAGGGCGCGCTTGGCATTCATATTGATAGGTGGCGCTACCTCCTTATCGAGACGGGTCGCGACCACCGTGGTTTATTAAAATGGCCATAGTCTTTTTGTAATGTACCTTTGCTTAAAAAAATAAATGTGAATAATAAAAGCAAAACTTGAAGTAGAAAAAATGCGTCTGCGTAACGGCGGCACTTTTGCTGCCAGCAGATTTCGTCTGCGTGTCGTCTGCTTTCTTTCGCTGGTTGGCCGCACCTTCCGACGCTGCTCCCGATGCCATCAATACGCGCGCCAAACGCGCTTAGCAACTTGACTCGGTTGTCTGCCTCACCGCCCGCCATTGACCTTAGCAAGTTTCCTGGCCCTATTTTTTAGAAAGCTACGCTTTCTAATTTAACAAGAAAAAACCGACCAGTGAAATACACCTTGACGAAAAGTTTAGATTGCCACATGCAGGCATCGATTTTTATGGTCCATTTTAGATTGAGCCTGGTGACTTGGGACACCCTACACACTGATCAGCCAGAACATTATGATCACCCACCTAATACCATATTGATTTTCCTCTGGCACGCAAATCAGTTGCAACCCGTCTTGGCATGGATTCTGCACAACTCTTTGGTGAGTGCCTTGAATAAGATTGTACCAATTTCCAAGCACAGGTCACACAATTCCTGTAGATTATGAGGAGCTGGTTTGTGAGCTTTGAGCTGGTGCTTCATCACATCCCAGTTGCACTCAATAGGATTGATATTTGATGAGCTAGGTAGCCAGGCCATCAACTGGAAATTTATTATGTTCTTCAATTCATTGTAGCTCTATTTTGGCCCTATGACATACAGCATTGTCCTGTTGGAAGATTTCTGTTCCAGTGGGGAAGACAAGCCACGAATAGGTGTAACTTGTCAGCAGTGATCTTGACATCACCAATCTGCCTTCTGTCAAAGTCGCTTAAATCCAGCAGCCTTTTCCATTACACACACACATAGTCGACAAAATGAATCGTCTGTATATATCCACAGCTGTTGCCTACCATCTGCGTCAAAAGGTGGTAAATAACACTAATGGAACTTCAGCTAGGTGCACTCATTCCCAAAATGTAAAGGTGTTCATAATGCTTTGGCTGATCAGTGTATATTTTTCGAAAATATACCTGTTGCTTTTTGCTCCCAGCCCTGAGGCTGGTCACAGCAAAGCAGGAGAAAGACACAAAAAGTTTATGCAACAAGTGTCACACAATGCAAATCATGCAGCTTCTCATTTTATTTATTGAAAATCAATATTAAAACTGCAAAGAGTGAAAACATTTAAAATTGTTAAACAAAAATGCGACATGAGCTACAGGCTTTCCAGTCCCCATAACCACCAGTTTTCACTGCACATTTTAATAGAAATTGGCTCCCTGTTTTTTTTTTTTTGCAATTTGCATGTTTTCTGCTGTGATGTTACATAATCTGGAGTTGCAGGGTGCCTCCATGTCATTTTCACATCCAGGGTGGAGACACCCGCCACATTGGGTCGGTCTTCTGGCTGCTCTCGTCGACGCCATATTGTTTCAGTGTACAACTGATTTAGCTGAAAAGCAGTTTTTCCTTGCCCTAACAATATCCACATACTCCAGAACAGCAGGACCCATTGTCACCCTGCTATATTGATTGCAGCAACCCTGGAAGCAATGTTGGCCTCGAGGCACCCTGTAGAGTTGCAAATATACATGTGAGAGCCATGATGTTGACTTTTTCGTACTGATAAAGATATAGAATGATTTCATGATACATATTTTTACTCGGGGGACTAAGCAGTTGACTCCAGTAGTTTTTTCAGGTACTGCATCCTGCACCGTCGAGGATGTCTACCACAGATCTCAACGTGCAGTCTGGGCTCTGGCAGGCGCTCATGCTGTACGACTCTGAATGCGGCTGGACAGTGCAAGAGCTGATCGACATCTGCCATGATCCACACCACGACAAAGCCGTAGCTGCTTACTTCCAGCCTGGATCCGGAAGCAAGCTGAGAAATTTCATTACAAAGCGGCCCCAGTACTTCAAGTTTGATCCAAGCACTGACAGAGTGAGTTTGCCAGAGCATTCACTCAGCACTGTGCTTGAGGAGTGCCTTATCGAATTTATGGCCCTTCAGATAAAAGCTTCTTCGGGCTTACTTGATCTAAAGTGTGTCAAGTTTGAAGACTACAACCATATCTTGCCAGGGAATATGATTGACCACATGCAGACCATCTATGCTGGATCACTGCAACTGTTCTTCAAGACCCACATCACCTCGTTCGTCCTTCACAATGAGAATCGTGTGAAGCTAGCCTCGAAATTTGAAAGTACGAGCATCCTAGCAGACCCAGACAACCTAAGGCCAGTCTCTTTCTTCTTGGGGTTGCTCCAGAAGATTGGAGCTAGCAAAGAAAAGCCATGCTTCATTCACACACTGACTAAGTACCTTCACTATATGGACGCTGATGCCAGGGAGTTCCTTAAGAGAGAGTACCACAACAACCTCAATCTATTCTTCCTGCTCAACCGCCGCCACTTCAGAACAACCAAACCAGAGAAGGGCAGTGCTTTCCTCAGGGCACAGCCAGCTGTAGATTACAGTGTAGTGGCGTACCTGCAGCAGCTGCTCCAGAAGAAGAATGCATTCACATACTCTGCTGGCCTTACGTTTCAGTCGCTTTTGTCGAGGGGAGCAAACTGGTGGTTGCCATTGGCGCAGTCCTTGCTCGGAAGTGCTGATGGGCTGAGCCAGCTAAAGTTGCTTCTTGCCACCTATCCCAACATTTTCAGGTGGCAGCCAACCGGCAAGGTGTGTCTTCGCAAGAAGTACACCCCGTGGAAGGAAGAGTGGAACTCGGGCTTAGAGCTGCTGACGGTGCTCTACTTCACTGACGTTCTGAAGGGCATTGGCTCCGCATCTCCGTCAAACCCCATCTGTTTCAACTACATCGCCCTCTGTGCTGAATCAGCACCTCCAGAGTGCAAAGACTTCCTCGACAATGTCTTCCCGGGCCTCGACATCATCAACCTGTTTTATCTTCACTCGGATCTCTTTGATTTCTCCTCTACAAACTGTGTCTCGCTCAAGTGCCCGCCTGCAGAAAGCAAGTCGCACAAAACAGGATCTCCCGAGAAGCTCTCGGCACGTTACGCTGCACAACTGCTCAAGTATGCCTCAAAGCTCACACCAGATTTGTTGGCAGTCTGTGTTGAGACAGCACCACCTGCAGTTCGGACTTACTGCAAGGCCACGGTAAAGGATCGGCTGCATTCGGTCATAGAGTCAGGCCTGAAGCTCCTGCAGAACAACAAGAACGGAAGGAATACGGTGATCGATGACATCCGAAACCTGTACCAAGATTCCGCCAGAACAGTCTTAGGTGAACAAGTCAAAGCAGCAGAACAGGAAACTACTTTAATTACGGGAGACGCACAGACTGGTGACAAGGCACCAGTACCTAGGCATTCAAGAAGGCACTTGAAGACAGAACCAAAGAATACAGAAGAAAAAACGGACAATGGCTGCATAAAAGAAAAATCGCTTCCCGAACATGTGACAGCTCTTAGTGCAGCTGACATGCAGACTGGTGCCAAAGCATTGGTTTCAGTGCCAACAGATCAAAGAAGGCACTTGAAGGCAGAACGAGAGGACACAGAAGAAGAAATAGACAATGGCATGACTCAACAATTGCTCACTGAACAGGTGACAGCCCTTAGTACAGCAGACGTGCAGACTGGCGCCAAGGCACCAATACCAGTACCAACAGATCCAAGAAGGTACTTGAAGGCAGAACCAGGGGACAGAGAAGAGGAAACGGACAATAGTGTGACTGAACAATTACACTCCGAACACAAAGAACTTCTGCCTTCATCACGCAACCAAGTCCCGGGCCGCACCTCTCCATCTTCGAAAGACTGTGTATTGGAGTACATCACCAAACGGTTGCAGGAGGCCCCAGCTCATGCTGAAAACATTGTGGACTTGGTTGCCGCCGTCAACAGGGATGTTGGGCCCATGTCGGACTATGAGATTCTCTTGTCGGTACTTGCTAATGAGGAGGCCCTTGGGTTTGATGGCAAGCAGATTTACAACAAGCCTAAGCCCTGAAATCAGTGTTTCATGAGCTCAGGAAGGGGAATGTCGGTTCTTCCCCATAGTCTCAATGCTTTATGTGCTTTGCCAAAAATGACTCGAGTGACTGTCAATCCCTTCCCTTAATGTGTTAAGGGCTTAAATGTACTGTACTTTTTAATATAACGAATTTCGAGTCTCAGGCTCATCTTTGTGGCATAATATAATGTTTATTTTTGTGTGTGTCCAAAAACAACTGCATATTTTGCTTTCTTTACCTTTTAGTTGAATGCATCTAAGAGAGGTTTAGAAGGAGAGAAAGGATTGTCTTCACTTGCCGTTTTAATAAACTGCCAAATTTTGAGAAAATAACAGTGTATGAGTATGAAGTTTGTCTGAAGTAGTCCAGCAATTCACAGCAACTTGGGAAGTTTCAATATCTTGCCGATTAATTCCCTAAGTCCTGTTTACTTTAAATCTCATCCATTCTCTCAATAAAAACGAAATTAAGAAATGCTCGACCCAACGGGTGTGTGCCCCATGCATGTACAGGTAGTAGCAGCATGGGTGTGTGGCATAGCAATTTTTGCATCAAAACCCACTCTCATAAAAAAAAAGAAAAAAATGTGAACGAATACATTGTTGCGCTTGACAGTGGCAGCTGTTAGCCTGATGTTTTAGTAGAATAGTTAATGTGTGCTTTTGTGGAATGCTTTTGGGGAGAAAATTTACAGATGTGCTTTTTGGTTAAAATGAACTTATTCGGAGCACAAGTTTGTCTGCTTCTTGCACAGGGATCGCAATGATATCGGAACACCGAGCTCTTATTGGCCGATTGAAAAAAAGTGGGTAGACCTCAAGGCATCTAGCATTGAGGTCTGCCCACTATACTTTCAATCAAAGAATATCGGAGCTCGGCATTGTTCTGACGTCACTAACTCCTGCGCATGTAGCAGACAAACTTGCTCTCCGCATAGGGTGTTTTCACATGATGCCATCCACCATTTTGTTGTCAGATACGAATTTGAAGGTGATGACTGAATCCTAGAAATATTGTAGAAGAATCTGGAGTTGGGCAAGTTGGTACATCTTAGATTAGAAAAGTGCCAGAAAACAAGGACAACAGAAAGAATAGACGAAACAATGCGCTTGAATTATACTTGCCTTCAGCAAGTACCAGCCAGCTCATAACAACGAAACGGTGGACATAATTAGGTACAAATTTTATAGCGACGTATGTATTCTAGGAATACTTGCGTTCGGACACCGCCAGATTTCGCCAACAAAAATAACTGCCGCCATAAACAAAAGATAAAAATGTAAGGCATTATGGCAGCTGTTTGCAGCCCACCGAAAGTGTGGTATTTTAGCGTGGCAGAAGGAGAAAGCTGGAAAAGTAGGTAGCATAGATGACATCGGATACACGTGACGTGCCAGACATTTATGAAGGGTACGGGTGAATGACACGTTGGCAAACAAGTTAGCCATTGTGGTTGTATGAACATGTTTGCCTTTTTACCATGATCAATTTTAAAGAAGTTTGATTAGAGAAAATTACCTTCCATTTGATTGACTGCCGCCATGGGGCGGTCGTGGGTGTTTACTCATTTTCTATGATTTTGCTATTTTATATTCTTAAATTCTTCATAATGTGTTTTTGGAAGCTCCCCGAATTCCCGAAGCAAAGTTTCATTCTTTTGTTATTTCTCGTGAGATTCTGTGTGCATGGGATACTAAACACAGATAGATAATGTTAGGAACAGTAAGGTACAATAGTTTACATATAGTTTTTTTGTTTTTGCAATGTCATGTGACAAGGCTCTGTTTTAGTATATGGCAGGGTTGTGTTAATTTTTCCCTTGGACGGTCTTGTGTGCCCCATCAAGCGATGGGGCAATAGGCAGGCCACTCAGTAGAGCACCTACCAACTTTGTAATTAGGAGGAGCGTAAAAGATGTTGTGGTGCGAGTTTCAAATAGCACCAACAATTTAGGTTAACATAGGCACCGGCGGCCGAGGTTAACATAGGCACCGGCGAATCTAAACAAACGCTTTGTTTAGATTTGGCGGGCATTGTTTCGATTTTGGCGGGAGATGAGTCGTAAAGGACGGAAGGGTAAGGGAGAAGCAGAGTTGGTAGAGTGTGAAGAGTATAAGCGACGGTGCTATTTAGAGGCCAAATTTGGGGGTTTTACGTGCCAAGCCAACGACAGGCATCTGGCATGCCCCAGCAGAGGACTAAGGATTAATTTCGACCACCTGGGGATCTTTTGACGTGCAACCGAAAGCTCAGTTACACGGCACCTTCTCCGCAATAAGCTTCCGTCGGATTGCGGGCACCTCGGCCAGGATTCGAACCCGCCACATTGGGATCCGTAGGCCAGCACTCTCGCCTTGGAGCCACCGAGGCGGCTGCTATTTAGAAGAGGCCAACTTCGAGAGCTTAGCCGACGTGGTGGAGGGCAGCTTCACTTGCTGTCTCTGTGAGAATCTTGAGGTTGGTTTTACGAGGGTAGGAGGGGAGTGGGCGGCTGTGCTTAAATGCAGGTCAAGGAGCTGACCAATGAGCTCGGGCAGGAACAAGAGAAGCGGGCCGAGCTCTAAGATCTTGGGGTAGGTTTTGAGAGGATAGAAAGAGACTGTGCGGTTAAGCTGAAGGAATTAAAGGGTATGCGGATGGAATTGAACAAAGAGAGAAAAAAGCGAAAGGCGCTAGAGGAGGCATGGCAGGATCAGCTGGAGGAGGTGAAAGCGACGCAAAGGTGCAACAAAGATAGACATGAAGCAATGGAGTGGCAACTGGAGGAGAGGTTAACAAAGAAAGAAGCGTGAGAGGCAGTGGAAAAGGGGCTAGAAAAGGTGAGACGTGAGCTGCAGAAGATGAGACGGGACAGAGGGAGGAGCAGTTGACGAAGTGTCGGTTGTAGAGAGCGAGAGGGCAGAGGACATAGACACTAGTGTGGCGTCAGAGGCAGCGAGGCCATTGTACAGTAGGGTGGTGCGACAGCAGCCCCCTACTCCAACAGTCGCCAAACCTGTGATGCAGGAAAAACAAAAAGGAAGGGGACAGAGCGTTGGTGGTAGGGAGCTCTAATGTGTCTAGGTGCACAGTGGGGATCGCCAGCAGAGTAGGGGAAGATGGGAGAGGAAAGGTTTCAGCCCTTCCAGGCAGGGGGACGAAGGAGGTGATGGACATGACAGTAGAAATGTTGACTGAGCAAGGGGGAGGAAAACCTTGTGGTGGTACATGCGGGATTGAATGACGTCTTGGGTAAAAGGGGAAGGGACCTGGCCACACACACTGAGGAGGGTGTGAAGCAGTTGAGCGTCATAACCTCTGGAATGGTGCAGATTGTAATGTGCACCGTTTCAAAGGATGGAGGCCGAGGAGTAGGCACAGAGAGGGTAGTCCAGGAGGCTAACAAGACCGTCAAGAGACTGAGCTGTAAGAAGGGATATGAGGTCATGAGTGTGAACAGGAAGTATACCAGGAGAGTCCGACCCACCCGTTCAGCTAAAACGGTATCCACTTTATGGGGAACTGACAGATACAGGTGGAGCGAAAGATAGGCGGTATTCGCGTCTCCAGCTCGACGCTCGCCCTCCCGCGGCGGAAACGGGAAGCGCTCTAGTGAGGGTCCCCCGATTCTCCTGCTCAGCGGGCATGGCGGAACTGCTTGCGATCATGGCTCGCGAAATGTCGTTTCCGAATGCAAACAACACTCTTCACTGTTCCAACGTAGTGCTGCAGCCAGTATGGGATTGTACCTTACTGGAGAGTTTTAGTGTTCCAGAAAGGTATAATTCTGTTTTCTTTTTAGCATATGAAAAACTCTGACATAGTTATCGAGATAGACATACAATTAAACGCTGGATGTAATATGAAGTCCTACACGTCACGCGGTGCTATAAAAACACACACACAGACTTCAGCTGTCTGACTCGGATTTCGTCTTGGGCTGTTGCAGTGAGAGCAGCGTTTATTAGTTTATGCGTTTCGTGGACATATTGTAAAATTGGAATTACTTTCTTTTTCGTGTGCTGGGATAATTGTCATTATTTCCCATGACAATTATCTGAGCAAGACAAAGGCATCGAGAACGCACAGATATCAGCACTGATTTTTTCAACAACGACAAATATCAGCCTGGATCGAACAGTATGTCACAAAATAAATTTTCCGCGAACAACTTTTCTAAGTAAATAATTACGATGTGAGACACATCTTGAGTCATGAAAGAATCCGAAATTAAGACATCTGTCGAGAAATTAAATCCAAAATAGAGGTAAGTTTCGGTTTCGCTCCAGAATTAAAACGCGCATCCTTCCGTAATTAATACGCTGAACACCGTTTTTGGTTTCAGGTTAAAGAGGTGACCTACGCTCATAAAACATTAGCTTCCTCGTATTACCAGAAATAATTTATGTCGCTCAGTGAAGCCAGCACACTAGACAGGCTCAACAGCGGCACGCATCTCTGACCCTCACTAAACCCGCCATCTTGGAATATGAGTGGCGCCACCTATAGTTAGTTGGAGTCGCGAATAGCAAAGGCTTTTTTTGGAGCCCACAGAGCCCTCCGGTAGCTGGCTCAAATGCAGATAAGTTTGGGAGGAAACCTCGCAGAAGGAAAACGCAGCAGCTCAATAGAGGATTTATAAACATGCAAGGGGGCAGAAATAGAATGAAGTGGAAAGAAATGGCAGAACAATTAACTGATGGAAGATTTTGTAGCGTATGGATTAGCAGAGATACATCTTAGAAATATGGAGGAACCACCCCACTTGGCAGGTTATGTTTGGGTGAGGTGCAATCGATGTGAAGGGGAACGGAAAGTAGGTAGATTGGGAGCGCTAGTGAAAGGACAGGGAAGGTCATCCTGGTGATATCCCACACTGCCTGGTGATAGAGGGCGAAAATTGGTCTTAGAAGGGTGGGAGGAACCATGTTTCTTTATAGACTTGGGTGGCGCAAGCTACTGCCCGTGACAAAGGGCACGGGCAGTAGCTTTAAGCCTTTAACATCCATCCAGCCATCCACTTGCAATCTTCGGAACTGCAGCGGAGGCTGCGGGGGCAGTGAAAAAGTCGGAGGGGTGTGGCAGAGGGGACTCCTCACCACGTGGAGAAGGCCGCAACGTTCGTGCATCCCAACTGCGCAGGGAGATTTTTTCTCTCTGTTTGTTATTTTATATCCTCTCTCTCTCTCTCTCTCTCTTAAACGCTCTAGCTCTTGCGTGCGGTACAGTACAGGCGAACGCAACGCTAGGCGAGGGGAGAGGTCAAGCACTTAAGGCTGGGAAGGGGGGGGAAACCCTCTCTTCTCTAACGTTTCTAGTACGCTAGTACTCTTCCATTCTCCCCTCGCTCTTCGTTGTCCTCCTCTCCCGTCCCGCCTTCCTAGTGCTCACCCTTTCTCCCTTCGCCTGGCGTTGCCTAGTAGAAGCTATCGCTATCCTCCTTGCCTAGAGTATTCTCGTTGAGACACGTGGCGCCACCTGCCAATACGACGAACAAATACTAGGTGCGCCCGCCGATTTCAAATTCTGATTCTTGCAGAGGCGGAGAGCTATGTGCTAAGCATTGAAATGACAAAAACGTTGAACCGGCCACAAAAGTACATCCTAAATAAAAAAATAATATTAATAAATAAAACATAGCCGATTACCACTTGATATTGAATATTAATATCAGTGCTAGCGTGTCTACGTACAGGCGGTGGTTCTTCCCGGCTTGTTTTTCTTTAAAGCGGTCAACGCTGCTGTGGGAGTATCTGGAGGATCTGGAGTATCTGCTGGCGGGTTGCGCCTGTTTTCTTATCATTCCGAAACGTAGACGATGTAGCTAAAAAAAAAATATATATATATATATATATATAAAGGGGTGTTATCGTCTGTCGGCCTTATCACGTGGCGACTCAAACGTTGCACTGATACGGGGATGACACGTGGCTCGTAGACGGCTGGCCGCCCACCGCCGGTCAAGAATTCGCTCGATCATTCAGCGTACCGCTGCCGTATTTAAACGTGAGTATCCTCCTGCGTACATTATCTTCCAGCAAGCACGATATTATACGGATTCAAGGTCCCACGTGTTCGAGTGTGCGTGCAGCGGTAACAAGCTTTTCTTTTTGTGGTGCTATGTCTAACTCTCTCTCTTTTTTCCTTTTTTGTAATAATTTATCGCAATTAGTTATTACTTTAAAATTTATTTTCTTGTTATTTGCATTCAGTACATCCTTGCAGCCAGTGTAATGCCTGTGGTTGAGATGATAGAGTAGGTAAATAAAAAGTTCAGTGTAACTTTGCCTTTTTCGAGGCATTCTCAAGGTGAATGGACAGAGATCCATTTTCAAACAAGCCATTTCTATGCAGGTGTAGAGGCGACTCTTGACAAGGAGGTGGTCTTCGCAGCCGCAGCATCATGTCGCTTCTCGAGCTCAACCTGCAGTCTGGACTGTGGCAAACACTGCTGCTCTATGACTCCGACTCTGGTTGGAAGTTGGACAAACTGATGGACATCTGCCGCACACTTATCCGCGAAGAGGAGCTAGTGGTGTACTTCAGGCATGGAAATGAAGAGCAACTTAGAAAGTTCCTAAAAGAAAGACCCCAATACTTCAACTATGATCCGGACGAAGACAAAGTCAGCTTGCCGGAGAACTCGACGAGCACCGTTTTAGAGGAATGCCTCGTAGAGTTTCTGGCACTTCAGGTGAAGGCTTCTTCGGGGTCACTTCCCCTGGCAGAGGTCACATATGAGAAGTACAAGCATCTCTTACCAAAGCCTTTAGCCGAGCACATGCACACCATTTATGGCGGATCACTGCTGCTCTTCCTGCAGACTCACCCCCTTTCGTTCATCATCTGCACCGAGGGCACCGTAAGGCTCGCACCAGACTTTGACAGTTCAAGCATCTTGGTCGACGACAACAATGCGGAAGTTGTCTACTTTCTTCTAGGCATCCTCCAGAAGATTGGAGCAACGAAAGACAAACCCTTGTCAGTTCATTTGCTGCTGAAATATCTTCCGTACATGGAAAAGGACGCCAGAGAGTTTCTTTGCAAAGAATATCTCAACAATCTCAACATTTTCTTTCTCCTCAACTGCCGCTACTTCCAAACGAACAAGCCGGAGAAGTGCAGTGTCTACCCCAAGTACCCGCAGACTCCAAATTACACTGTAGTTGCCCACCTCAAGCAGCAACTAAGAGTGAAAAACGTTGCAACAGACGGAACTGGCCTATCTCCCGCACAGCTTGCCGCGAAAGGGAAAAGCTCGTGGATACCTGCTGTGCAGGCATTCTTCGCAAAAGCCGGCGAAGGGAAGCAGCTGAAACGACTGCTTAATGGCTACCCGAACGTCTTCAAGCTGCAGCCAGACGGAAAAGCTTGTCTCCGAGAAGTGTACTCCCCGTGTGAACGGGTCTGGAACCCCAGCTTAGAGTTACTCACTGTCCTTTACTTTGCCGAGATGTTCAAGGACATTGGCTCCTCATCTCCATCAAACCCAATTTGCTTCAACTATGTCCTCAGCTGCGTCGACTCGGCGCCCGAAGAAATCAAAGACTACTTGAGGGACGCCTTTCCAGGAGTGGAAATCATTGACTTGTTCCATCTGCATCCGAACATGTTCGACCTCTCCTCAACAAACTGTGTTTCCCTCAGGTCACCACCCACCGAAGAACTCCCGCACAAAAACGAAGTTGCGGAAGCTCTCTCGATTCATTACGCGTATCAGCTGATGAAGTATGCAGACATAACGCCAGACTTGTTCCTTCTCTGCGTTCAAACGGCCCCGTCTGTGGTCAGAGCTTACTGCACTAGCCCTACAAAAGACCGTCTGCACTCTGTCCTCGAATCGGCAAAGAAACTGTCTGCATGTACTGTGAATGAACGCAACACAGTTGTGGACGACTTTCGGGCCTTGTTTTCGGGCAGCGCTCGCGCAGCGACAATGCAGTGCAAGGAAGAACGTGTGAGCTTGGCCACTGCAGAAACAGCAACCGGCTTGCAGCCATACTCCTTAAGTAAGGAACTCATCCATGGGGAGCTCTTACGAAAGCGGAGGCAGCGAGAAAAGAAATCGACGAAAAATAGCAATTCAAGTAGTGCGCAGAGCAGCACTGGCGACATAACTCCAGTCTAGAACCCAGCATCTGTGCACGTCAGGCACGTTTTTCCTAGAAGACAACATTGTCGAAGTCTTCCATTTGGTTCCTTTCGGAGGATGTACCTTGTGTCACAGTAATTGTTCCTGTGGGAGCCAGAGTAAAGTCCCCTTAAAGGGAGTATTCACCAAAGCTGTGTGCATTACTGATGATGATAAGTTGCTATAGGTTGTACTGACAACCTCATATCCCACGAGACAGAATTCGCCAGGACGATCAAGTCCGTGGACGTTCCAAACCGGTAAAGTTTGGGATTGCCGTCCGGGGAAAACACAGCGACACTTCCCTGACTCTGAGCGCTTTGAACGCCGACTAACCTCAAGTTATCTCAGAGAGTTGCATGTAGGAGGTGATGTAGTGACATGGGTTTATTAGACAATAATCGTTTGCCCCAATTACCATGGCAAAGGTTATTGGGCAGGCCCCCTCCCTCTCCACTGCCTCTTCTTCAGAGCTTTGCGAATGTTAAATGTTTTACTGCGAAACGAATATGAACGTCAAAAATCGACTACAAGTCAAATTGAGCATGCATACCAAATTAAATCGCGGCTGAAATTATTTTTAAGGAAATGTGCCTATGAGAAGAAACTAGTACTGGGGTGCTATGTTGCACGTTTTGGACTCCCAGGAGACTAGGGAGAAGGAAGTGACGTCAACAACGCTCTTTGGATGTTGCGTGGTGGAGTCGCTGATGACGCGTTGCGTGGTGCTGCTAGGATACGTTCATTCCCACCTACGTCACTTCCTTCTCCCTGGTCTCCTGGGAGTCCAAAACGTGCACCATAGCCCCCCAGCATGACAAACATTTCACATACTTGCATTAAAAAGGCTATAATAGGAACAGGTAGGGTGAAACAAGGCAAAATGACAAGCAAAGCAAAGGACACTTATTTCAATGAATGTGGGCTATTTTTTTTTTTTTTTTTTGTCACTGTCCTTTAAAATTGAAGGTCGAATTATAATTTCAGTTAAAAAAAAGTCCTGCCATAGTGAACAAAATTTCCGAGCCCGCCGAGATCCCCTACCGCGCCAGCAGTTTCTTCGACCTCGCCGGTGCAATGCGGTGAAGCCACGCGCAAGCGTGCCGTTGCGAAGCTTGAAGCGATGGTGCTAGTGAAGCTGTTGGATCAAAATTAACTGTTGGGCTAGTTGGCTACACATTGTATAAAAATTCAAAAGCGCAAACACCAAGGAAAAGAAGAGGGGACAGGACAGAGCGCTCTGTCCTGTCCCCTCTTCTTTTCCTTGGTGTTTGCGCTTTTGAATTTTTATACAAGCTGTTGGAGTTATTCAAATATCTCGAATATCCTTTTACTGTTGGAGTTATTCAAGTATCTCAAATATCCGAAAGTTACATTCGTAACTTTCGAATATTCGAGATACTTGAATAACTCCAACAGTAAAAGTGCGGCGCGCATAGGTACCTGAATAGCGAGCGATCTTAGCAAGGGCAAGTCTAATGCGTTTTGTTTTTATAAGTTAAAAGACTTGCATTTAAAGCTCCGCGGTGTGTGATATTCGATCGCGCTTCAAAATTTGACTAGCTCCGTAAGACTCACGAAAATTGTAGCGTCCACGCACACACAAGGGCACAGAAACAACGCGAACGCATTCGCGAACAATGAAGTTGTCGGTACCACACCACGGACGAGTGACGGAAAGTTTCCAGCACTGGTTGCTCGCGCAGCAAGTTTTTGCAATCTTTGCTTCGGGCGGTTAAAACTTCGAAGTGCGAACGCATGGCACACGGAAACCACTGACGACGCTTCCACAGATTACGACCCCGACTCCGATAAGGCGCCTCCCGACTGATGCCAACGCCAAAAATGGCAAGCGGCGCAAGCGAAAACTAGTCGTGACGTCAGAGGTCCAGTTCGATCTTTGTTTTCTGCTGTAGGGGAGGAACGGCGAAAGCAGTTGGCGGTTGAGACAGACAGACGGTGTGAGCGCCGTCGGTCCGGCGCGATCCTCCCCCTTCCGAAGGAAAGTGAGCCAGTCCCCGATTGCCTCGCCGCCTCGCGGTGGAGTCGAAGAAGCTCGTGGCGGGAGGCGCGAGATTCAAAAATCTTTACTCGCGCCCTTTCTGTTTCTTGATTGTTTGACCGGAGACACTCCGAGAGAGATTCATAAACAACTGCGGGTTTTTGGAACTTGAAGATTATTTTAATGATTCATCAAAAATAAAACAGAAAAAGATGACTCCCCCCCCCCCCCCCCCCCCCAAAAAAAAAAAAAAAAAAAAATATATATATATATATATTTTTTTTTTCTTTTTACTTTGTTTCTGGAATGCGGTTTTCGCCTGACAGAACGATCGTGTTGGGCCACTACTCACATATTTACTAACAACGTGATATCGTACCTAGAAGATAGGGGCGTATAAAAATAAAGGGGGGAGGGGACGCTACGGCTGGTGTTCGCCCAGGGCGCTTTATGGTGTAGGGCCAACACGGCCAAGAAGACAAGGCCGTCGTAGTTCTGACATTTTTGCGTCACCAGAGAAAGATTGGAAACAAGTGCTGCGTCAGCGCTCGGCTTCGAGTCAAGTTTGAGCCGAACGTTGACGCAATCGCCGTTTCCAATCTGTGCCCATGCTTTGGCCTAACGCCATATCATTGAGGCAGGGGCGGATCCAGAACTCCGTTTTTTTTTTTTTTGGGGGGGGGGGGGGGGCGGAAAATTTTTAAGGATACTATTCTCCCATTCTTTCTTGTGCAAGGGGGGTCCACCAAACCACCCATGTCAAATTGCCCTCCGAGAAGGGGGGAGGGAGGGGGGTCGACTTTGTTTGGGGGGGGAGGGGGCGGCCGCCCCCGTCGCCCCCCCCCCCCCCCCCCCCCCCCTTGGATTCGCCACTGCATTGAGAGCTGCGGCTTTGCTGGAGAGGCCTCCTCTCCAGCGTTCGCTCTGCTAAAGTGGAAAGAGATGGGAGGAGCTTCCACGTCGCCGGCCCTGGCTCCACTAGAGTCCAGTGAGGTTTCACAAAACGATGTTTGAGTGGACGGCGGGTTAAGGACGGAAGTCCGTTTAGCCAGTGGTTAAAGCGAATGGCGGGCATATATGTGTAACAACCGAAAGGGCTTGGGAAAAATAATCTGACATGGCGATCCACCTAAAAACGCCCAGTTGCAAGACCGGTAGCATTCGCACACTTTTCCAATGCAGCATTTGACCTTATGCCTACACGCATAAACAAAGCGACACTAAATAATGAGCGAATACTAATAATAAGAAGGATGGACACGAAAGGAGGATCCCCCGAAATCGCATCTCCTTTGCCGGCCGTGCAGCGGCCTAGCATAGGGGAGAGCGAGGTACCACTCCCGTCTAATTCCGGTCCACTTCGGGGGACCTCGTACTCCGCTTCGTCGTCGGGTTGGCCGGCCCCCGCGACCCCGTGCGAAGCCCCCCAGCCGACCGCCCGTCCCAGAGCCCCCGCACGGCGGCCAGGCGGGCAAGCAGGGCGACCCCGAAAGGGATCGCAGCGAGTCGACCAGTGTCATCCACGGACGAGCGACCGGGCGACCCGCTGGCCTCGCTCGGGCGCCAGAAACTGGAGCGTCCGCGAGCACAAAGGGACTTCGAGAGCGCGGAATATCGGTTTCGGTGTTTGCGGATCACGCAGTTGGCCCGGTCGAGGAACTCGCCTCGTTTTGCAACAAAAGCGCCCCCCACCCGCTCGCCCGCCACCGCTGGGCCGTCGGCCGCTTCTCGCCGGCTTTTTACCCGTCGGTCAAGGTTGTCGAGTTGGGCCAGCCGGCCCCGACCGCGCTGGCGGTTGACGGGTTGTTGCGCTAAGAGACTGGCATTCGGAGAAGGAGAAAGAAATGAATCAAAGTCACGCCTCATAAACGAAAAAATAAATAAAACGAAATAGGAGTAAGGAAATCTTTTTTGCACGAAGGTATTACATAGGTCTACTCCAAAACGTCTGATCTCACTTGGAGGACGCTGGACGACCTGAACACCGATCCAGGGACGGCGGAAGTGTGGTTTCGGAGCCGACCCAGCCGAACCCCTCTTGCACGCCCAACTCCAATCCCCCTACCCTACCCTACCCCCCCCCCCCCCCCCCCCCCTTCCCAAACCGCACACAAATGGAACTTTCTCGACAGATCTCTGCACTAGGGAACATCACTCATCATCAACCTTCTCGAGCCTTTTGATCAAAAGACGCTCAGCAAATGTACGCTAAAGGTGAGAAGGAGAGAAGCTTTGTCAAGAGCTTCCAGCTTTCATTCGTACCACGATATATCGTCGCGGGGGAAAGTGAGTTGGCAGGCGGGAGCAGGGGGGGCGAACAACGCTCTTTCACTCGGCGGATGCATTGGCGGCGGCCACAACAAACACCTCCACCGGCGGCGGGAGACGCGCACAAGCCGCACACAAGCAGGAGCCCCAACCCGCGTCTCCCCCCCACCCTCACGGAGCCGGTGTGGGAAAGGCGGGCGGGTGCGATATCGGTCAAGGTTGCGTTCCGCCATCGGTCGCTCCATTTGGCGCTCACGAGTCTCGCCGACAGCTCGAGTTGCGCCTCCTTCCTCGTCGCAGCGAAAGGGAAAGCCGCCATCGCTCACGTTGGAGGTCACTGCCAGGAAGGAAGACGCCCCGATGTGGGTTAGGGGAAGAGTTCATCGCGCTCCCCCGCTCCGCGAGGTGGGGCCGCCAGGCGCCCGCTCTGGGAACGCGCGCTGCCTCGAGCCCTCCCTCCGGCGCGTCGAATGGACGCGGTCCAACAGCTGATGCGCGGACTTCGCAACTCCGCGCAACACTCCGCGGCGGTTTCTTTAGAGTTGTTTTGGAGAGCTCTCGTGTGCTTGGTCGTTTGCCGCCTTGCGGATGTGGTTAGCGGACGCATTGTGACGCCTAATGAGTGGAGAGTTGAGCTAGTTGGTACGTAGACGGCATATTAAAATTGCGGAGTCGGCGCTCGTGTCTCGTGTTCTCGTCATCTCTGCTTGTGCGCTGTTTCAATATGAGGCCTAGTGAGGCGCGCCTGACGTGTGTAGGTGAAAGGATGCCCTCATTTATCGCAGTTGCGGCAACTTGTCTCCGCCATCTCCGAGGGATCCATTTTTGATTGCCGGCAGCTTGTTCTGCGATGTGATGGCCCCTTCACACAGGAGCGTTTC